TCTGCGTCACGTCGTACTGTCCTTCGCAGAAGACTGATAATGTCACGATTGAACAGACACCTCATAATATCATTTCAGCCAGCATGGGACGAATCAAGATCGTTTTGAAACACATGTTGAAGCAGTGCCTTTCGAAGCAGTAATTCACATTTTCAGTTGATTGGATTTTTCCAATGAGTACAGCCGATTTCGGATTCCATATAACAGATTAATGCGGGAATATTTGTGAAATTTCGAAGCCGGAGTGGAATTCGCTGGTGTATCTTGAAGAGGGCAACAGCGGCCATAATGTCCGAGCCGTATCGTGATCCATGGCTCGACTACAAAGCGATTCTCGATTCAATGAAGAAAAAATTCCTGAAAAAACCAAACTATTCACAAGCTTTAGCTGATTTCAATAAGTTGGCGCTTCGATTTAAGTAAGTTTGCGCGGATCAATTGGATTTCATTCGTTGCATTCAGTTCAGTTTGCATACGGAATTGTTGCTTGAAGATTTGCCATAAATAGAGTACTGATAAACACTATGAAAATCCTTTTTTTTCAGTTATAAAAGTGATCTATGTATGGTTCTTTTGTTTGAGTAAACGATTCGGTGAGAGTGGCCTTCATCTCTTTCGAATTGACTGAGCTCTAGGAACACTTGACTTGTTGAAATGCAACAGAAGTAAGAGCGACAAAAATACACAACCTTACTAGAGTCGTATCGGACAGAACAGGAGGAATGAGTTAACAGAATGCAAAAAAAAAATCACGTTGTAATTCAGAGATGAGGACTGCGATCAATACGCTGCGATGTGTTACTATCAAATGGCAAAAATCTATGAGGAAACTGACGATTGGTTAATGCAATATCGGCATCTGCTGAAAGCAGCTCGCTTGTTCAAACAAGATGAAGAGAAGTCACACAATAAGACACTCGGTTTGTGGCTTTCCATTGATCTCCGCACACTTAACACTCTAATTTGAAAGATTAGCTTCAAATCTTGGACAAAAGCTTTTAGGTAAAGTTGTTGTAGGTAGATGATTATCAATTGTGTGCACGAGATGATTTTGATGTGGTGTAATGAATTTATTCGCAGATACATATTGTGTTTTGTGTTGCAGTGCGTTCAGGTAATCTGAATCATATGCAAGATTGTTACAATCACGCAGTGCAACTCATTTACGATCACGGTTCACAGTGGGAGGCTGGTCTTCATACCACTGAACTGGCGAATGCTTTGCGCACTTTTGACAGACCTGATCTCGCTTTGCAATATCATGTACGAGGTAGGTCTCAACTTTGAGTTTTGGTTTCAACTTTTCGGGTTGAATTGTTTCGAATGTGATTGCTTGAATTGGTCATCTTATCTTTCGTTGAAGTTTTCATTAGGCACATGGCACGAGATT